TCGGAGAATCAGCATTACGAAGAACAGATCTCAGCAAGGAAAAGCTTACGGAATATCAAAGCAAAAAGAAAAAATTAGCGGCTCATCATGTCTCACCAATAAAAATTACTATTCTTCGACTATCCTCAATCTTCCTGCGAGATAATTATTTATATTGGCCTACATAACGGGTTATATCACGTGATGTACGTAATTACCAAAAGCGCGGGAACCTGTACTAGTACTAGAAGTTACATTAAAACTGCCCACCATATATAAAGTTTCCAAAACGCATGAATGTACTGACGTGGTCGCTTCGAGAATATAATTGTTACTCTTGCGGTTACTACAACTACCCGAAATGACAAAATCATGAATGAAACACACAACGAATCGGGCGATTCTTATATGGTTTATAAGGCTAGTTTTTGGACGGCCAATTTGACGTGTACATTCCTGAACCGAGCGGGAGGCGTCATGAATTTGGGAAGAAACATAGGTGAGGAGTTTCATGAGTATGGCATGATATTTAATTAGCTAAAGTAACATATTTACTGAACGTTCTACGATGATTCACTAGTGAGGTGATGCAGATTTGAACTAGATCGTTTTTGTATGGGTAGTAATGACTGTGAAAAACGCATTAAATTCGTGGGAGCATCACACTGGCCGAAAAGTCTACAAACCCTGTGGCGAGTTGTACTCCTCGCGTCTTGCGCGTGGTTCATAATGGGGCAAGTGTAATGTGAATCAGGATCGGACTACCGGAAACGCTGAATACTGCTACCATTATCCAAGAAGGCGTAGATTCTCACTCATTCGTGAATTTGGGACCGTCTTACGTGGCGGATCGAACGGAAGAAGAGTTTGACGGGTGGGATTTTCAAGGCGAGAATCGCAACATTTTCTGTACTGGAAACCGATCAAAGTCCTGTCCTGGCTAGCACTTCTTCATTTCTTTGGTAGATATACATGTTTTATTATAATCCAGATCGATAGTAATATGTTTTCTCAAATGGGGTCACTTAAATACGCCAATTTCGGACTGATTGTAGTTGAAAGCCGGCACGAAATTCTTTGCCTACGGTATGACACTCATCGAATCTACGGAACTTTGGCATGTAGCAAATGATTTCTACGCAAATGTGTCCAGACTCTTCCTGACACGGCAGAGTGGTGTGATGTGAACGCAATGAATTGTACAACAGCTGGATCAGTGGTAATGCTTACTACGACAAAATTATCGGAGAAAGGATAATTCAGCGTATTACTATCCAAGCCTTCAATGGATATCGTCCGCACGTCTTGAGAATCTTGTCGGGATTAGTACTGACGTGTTTGGCAAGCTCTATACAGCTGATTTCAAATTCGAATTGATAAAAATTGCAAAACACGGAAAACATAAGCGTCAATCGCGACCGATCAGAATGAAGCAAGTAGGATCATCTTGCAAAAAGTAATATATATCAATCGTACTCTACATCTTTCCTTTGTTTCTTATAATACGTTTAATTTATATTCGTTTATTATTCTTGTTTTCGAACTCTGATTACAGTTTAGGGACGTGCGGAAGTTGTTCGTAAATGTTTTCCTTGATGAGAGTGAACGCTTCCAAATGAATGACGATCATAGGCTTGCGCAAAGTGGGCGGAAACCTCAGGCCACAAAATAAGAATTTTGGCCTATTACAACTTGATGCAATGGGAGAATTAGTCTTATAACTCGCCGTACCTGCGAGGTTTTCTACCCAGATGACAATGCAAGGTGCAAAACATGTGACTGGAAACGGTTGAACAAGCGGAGATGCCGACTGCGATAAGGTCATACGTAAATCACAAGAAAAAGGATGTTACAAAAAGTGCATGGATACGATTAGCCTCGATGGATTATTTTTACAGCCGATTTTGTTGATGAGCGATACAAATTTACTATCGATAATAGAGAGGGTTACCATAATTGGGTTACTTGTCGTGTAATAGTAAAAATTATCCGAAAGCGGAGCGACTTTTTTGAAACGATTATGCGCTCTGTTAGACCTATATTAATTGGCTTCAAGATGTGCTGCTGTTATCAAAACAAGCGAAAGGAGTGTTCAAATGAAATCACAAAACCGGCAACCGACATTGAAACCTTGGAGCGTTTCCAAGTCAGATTCAGATTAGAGTATACGCTAGTAGTTTCTGATCTGTTTAAGCTGTGATGCCATTTTCTATCGTACCGAGCGCTGGTGGTTATGGTGCAAATAATTCGGTTAATGTTTTCAGTTGAACTAGTGGCAATGAAGAAATCGACACCATCGTCCGAGGGTAGCAGAAAGATGTTAATGACTTTAGGATCCACGCTTTCTTGGACTGGAATATAGTAATACCATCTGTGGTATTGCGACAATCTGAAATCAACGAAGCGGAACAGTGTCTGCGACACTTGTGGTTTTTGAGTGTTGAGAATTGGTCATGTCATTTGGCTTGGTAGAACGTTTAAAGAATTTTGTAATGCGAATTTGGTGAAAATCGGGGGATTGGTTAAGAGTGACCAATTGGAAGATGGCTTTTGTGCAAGGTAACTAAGCACCGATATTAACACAGTTAGTGTTTTTTTATTAAGATGTTGATTTTTTCCATTTGTCGATAAATAGCTGCAGGAAGAAGTGTGTGAATGGATATAGAACACGAGCCTTATGGGATTGAATCCACTGGTGAGTACGCGTTCGTGTCACATGGCTTATGTTCTACCTGCTGATTAATAAAGACTTTGGTATAACCAGTTTGATCGAAAGCAGTTAATGGAAGGTTGGACAGCTGGAGACGACAAGCATGACGAAGTACACAGAAAAACTCGGACTGACACGACTATATTTGTTTCCGATGAATTTCACAAAATGATCTTACTGATTTCGTCAAGGATTCGAAATGGTATACTGGTGTCTGGATAAATGGGAAATTATTTAGGCGTAGATTTTGATGGTAGTAGTGAATGTGTTGTGCGAAGGGAGCCTCTTAAAGTCGCAGTAAACTTCTTGATATCAAGGATAGTAAACGGGATTTTTTGCACGAGGTAATTTTCATCTCAGCATTCCAGTTTAATGAAACAATTCTCATTATTTCTTCTACAAATGACAGTAAGTGCGGCGATAGTTTCAGAATTCCAGAAGCCGGGATAAATGTTGTGGGTATATCATGTTTGAAGGGTGGAAAGCACGTTCTGGTCATGGATTATACTGATCTCGGTAACTCGACTACCTACTTGCACAAACATCCCGACTTATAGTGGATTTTCAAATGCAGGTTCTGAAAAGGAACCAAAGAAGCATATTTATATTCGCAGGTAGGTATATTAACATTCTTTATATCGTATAATTGATTATTATTATATCTTTTTAAATTAAATTTCTATGTTCTCCAGAATCCGATATTTACGCGTTTGGTCTCTTAACGTAAACGCCAAAGGCTAGTACTAGACCAGATTGGATACCGGATTTCTGTGCAAAGAATGTGTCGAACGCCAACCTGAACCAGCTTCAGTAGATGGAATGAAGATCGTGATCAAGAATATATTTCAGCGATTGAGAGAACTCTTGCACTGAAGGTACAGTGATCTTCATAATAAACCGAGAATCGGCTTTCTGACCACAATTTCATGAGCTTAATTTATTCGGATTATGGTTTCACAAATACATAGTATAGATATTACTATTAATATGATGTCAATTTGTGACCTCCTAGTCTCTAATAAAACCATGTCAACTTTCAACACTAATCGTTTTTTCCTTTCTAATAAGTGGTTAACACGCTGTTTTCATAATAGCCCACAAGGGTCATGCCACCGAATTAATTAGTTGTTTTTAATCGAGTATTTTCCGCCCGCTTATTCTGTCGTCTGCCGCTCTTCCAGATTATTCAACGTTATGCGGATTACGATAAAAGTGGCGGATAAATACCCGAATATCGGAATAAATAATGCACGACTACTGTTGCAAGGTCTGCTAGATAATGATTTAACGTTACATATTTCTCGTACACCCACTGGACAAAAGTATTGACTGATTAGTAAATAATATAAAAAGTCAAACATCATTCCTAAATAATTCTCTGATAAGCTTGCAAAACTCATTCCTTCAGGAGAACGTTTCTGAAGTTACTGAATGGCCGAGTAACAATTTTGACCTCAATCCATCAGCAAATTCTCGAGGGGGTAGGAGACAAAGCGTTTACGTAAAGTGGAACCCATCTATTGCATATCAGTTTGAAGCTAATCGGTTGTACTTTTTTTTAAAAAAAAAAGATGCGAAATTTAAAACAGATATTAATATTTTATTGTAAGGATATCGATGTTATACATATGTAAACTCAATACTACTTGTAGAATTAAAACGATGATGCGACTAAATATATCGTTACTTTCTTTCGAAAATACAATCAATTAGTTCAAATAATATTGTGACTTACATAGTTCGAAAAAGAAACCGACTTTTCATTATGTGTTTCTAATCATCCAACAATAAAAATTCGTAATATTAATATTACAAACGGATACTGCACGCGTCAGTCCGTTAGAGCCGGCAAAATTTCTAGTTGTAATATTAATTAAATATGCTTTACATATAACTTTATTAATAATATCTTCTCTTTTTCTGATGGTACATGTTTATTTGTCGTGAGAGTAGCAAATCCCATAAACAAAGGTGTGGAAATAGCAGTCGTTTTCTTATAAACAAACTGTCATTCATATGTTCCCTGGAAAGGTGAAAGGAAAAGCCAATATATTGTTGTAGTGTAAGCTATGTATATCTTGTGGTAAGTTGTGTACATAATCGACCGCCGATTCTAATGATAATTTTCCCACCGACAATCATAACCAAAAATTATAACTTCGAAATAATGTTGGTGAATATTTGTTGGTGAGACGATTGTTCGATCTCCCCATTGAACTCTATATTTCTTTTAAATCATATTGTTTTCCTTACGTTATGGCTTGTTCATATTGCTTATTTTACTTATATCAATGAAAAGGAGCTGATAAATTTAAGAAAGAAGCCTTTGGACAGCCATTTTTTTGCGTATTCTTTTAGCCTCTTCGTCCATAGCGAACCAACACTCCATTATCATTTGAGGAGAGCGGTGGAGGATTGCGGACATTCTTCTCCATCGAGGCCCATGTTTCCGATACAACTGTCGAATCATATCACACTCAAAAGGAGTGAATGGTCTATCGACATCTGGCGGAATATATAACGTATACGAGTCATGTTAGAAAGTTACAAGCCGAACAGCACGTGTGTTAAAACAAGCAACTTATACTCCTAATTAAGACCAAAAAACGATGCTGCTTAAATGAATGTACATACATCCCCGAATGTCTTTCAATTTATCAGCACATTGTTTTGCGGTTTTATGACTCAAATAGAATGCTTTCATCCTTCTCCCACATTCTCCGTTATCAAAACTAACAAGAATATTAACTTCCTGTGTACAGATAAGAGATTAGATATGAGCCATACCAGTGTAGTCGAATACAGCTTATTTTGTTAAAAATTATACCTTTGGCGACCACGCTCTACTCATGCTGCAGTTGCAATCAGCAATTTTTAGGTATCACTGACTACTCTATTAAGCACTCTATAATATAAGTGTCTTCTCTAAAACTGTTTGATGTATGGTTGTGAAAGAAATAATCTTGTTGTAAGCGTTTTGATTATGCGAAATACAACGTCTATTGATTCAATGTGGTTGTATCCGAAGAAAATTTTATATTACATTTAATTTTATATTAAAGTTTATTGTTGGATTGGTTTGGTTTTTAATTTTCTAAATAACGTAATCCACATCACGCTAGAACGTTCCAGGGTTCTAAGTCTTTTTTGCTATGCTTCCATTGACATTTATACTCGAGCAACAAATATCCATTACCTGGACTCGATTGCTATGAAAAGTCTTATGATAAGATAATCAACTGGTAGTTGGGTAAATTAAATTAATCGAACTTTATTATGTTATGAAGACTAACTATAGAGTAATAGTTTTATTTAACGATACGGCTTATACCTTTAACCGATGAAAGGAATGACTCGAAGTAATACAGGGGGTCATACATTATATCACCGCCCTGTGCCACAACGCCATTATACAGCAGCATTTTTCACCATAGCACGGACCAGTCGACTGCAGTTTTGTACAGACATGTAGCCTGTACGTGGGGATTCGGCATGTAGCCCTTTAACTTGAAATTGCAGCGGTCTAACAAAAATAGGGAATTGATGTCAAATGCGCATGCAAAGAAGAAGAAATTTGCTCTTGTAATGTAAACCTAAGTGAGACAACTGGCAGACAAATGAACCATGAGCTAACGGAAAACAACAGAAATGCATAAAAACTGAAGCAAACGAGCGTAGTTCTGCGCCTCATTAAATAAACACAGAAAATGCTTTGAAGAAACGAAATAGCTTTGGGAGTTATAAAAGTCAAATGTATACGCGCAAAACTTTTTATGTCGGAAAAGATTTTTGTGCTACATCTACGCAAGCGTTGTCGTACTAATTACGCATAAGCATGATTCTTTTTTACTTAACAAAGCATATTCTTATAGACAATTTAATCATAGAAGCAAATGCATTAGTCACACAATTGCGAAACAAAGAAGAGAAAGGCATTTCGCCGTTCGAAAATTAGGAGTCCTTATTGGATTTGGTTTTGCCCACTTGCTCAGCAATAACATAAACTGAATGTAAATGATTATAGGCTTTTCTTAATTAGGAAACAAAACAAAGAGTTATGCAAAATGTTTATTATACGTTGGGAGCATGTGGGCAAAAAAAAGTTTAACCAATAGGAAGAGGTATTGTTATTGAGTTCGTGCCAAGTCTACTTGATTAACTCAAACGGCGTATAACATATATCGGGCGATGTATACGAATAAAAAAACTATACTTTTTCTTATAAAAACGTCTTCTCAAAAGCCAGTCGCAATTTAAACAGACAAGGGGAAGACAGAAAATGATAGTAAAATTCGGTAGTAATAAAAATAGTAAAATTCATATTATTTCACAAACGTAGTTTTAGTTTGTTATCAGAATTCAATGAGAAATGTGAATACTTATTTGTAATGGTTTGCTTATCCCGACAAAATGCCGATTTGACTTTTATAAGTCTTTTTATCTTATTAATATTAATTAAGATATTAGTTAATTCTGTAGAACGTTATTATTATGTACTATTGGATATAATCGAACTTTCAAAAAGTTTTGTAATATGGCGTATTTATTGCAGATCCGTGCATAAATTATTTTGTTTCCTTGAAAACGCCACAGTTGCCCGTTGTCCTAATACAGGAATAATTAAAAGAAAACCTCACAATATATTGATCTTTTAAAAATATTATCGTTATACGAATTATTTAACGGGATGGTTGGTTGCGAAAATACACGCAAATACCTACATAAAACACGGGCCGAGGTTATTTATTGGTTTGCTCTGGTATTTAAAAAGTTAGAACTCGAAAGATGCTTTACATATCATTTGCGCTCCTAAATACAAAGGCCAATAAAACTTAAGACCCTTTGTTGAATAAAGTTTGTGGTGTTTAATAAAAAATAGACACTCGGGATAAACTTAGATATAGCGATGGTTCTATCAATATTGTTGTATTTACGCCTTGTGTTTCCGATTTAGACATGCACAATGGATATCTGGAACAATGAATATACAATACGTGTAAACATAAGATGGAACGTATGTACTTGAACAAATATTTGAGCCATGTATACAATATTATTGAACAGCGTCTGGCCTGTATACAGTTGATATATTTAGTTAGCTAGTTTAGACGATTTGTTGAAATCGGGTGACATTCAAAGCAACGTTTCAATCGAAACAAATAATTTGTTTATTGCTAATAATTAAATCTTGGGTCAGAATTTTAAAGTAATATCCAAATAATAACCCGGTTACGTCTTACAAAAGTGTAATAGTAAATATATTAGAAATAATTGACTGAGAAAATTACGTCAATTTTTAACTTTATAGCATCGATTACATAATCTGACAGAGCTCTATTAACTTAATAATCCATTTGTTGTTTATGTTAAAAAGTATTTGTTTACAATATTGCTGTTATTTCTGCATTTCCACTGTTTAGTTCTAAATGGAATGTTTACGTGAATGTTTGTGTGATACAAAATATGACAATAGAGATTTTAATATAAGCCTTTTATAGAAACTTAAGGCGGTCTGTAACTTTGCGTCGGCTCACTGTACGTCTTTTTTTAACATTTAGAAGTCTGTTAAAAAAAACTTCAGCAAAAGTGTTAATTAATTGAATACTGCGAATATTTATAAACTCTGGAGACCTCATGTACATTGCGTGACAGTTATTGGTTCTTGTTTCAGGACAAGATTAGGTTTACAATTAGTTCAAGAGTTAATGAAGCGCAGTGCTATTTATAAGTAAAAGAGGCATATCCGACCAAATATGCAAGGTGTCGATGTCAGTAACAGAATAGTTAACTGCCTTCGCCGTTATTGATGTTCATTTTGTTTCTTAACGGTCTGTATGTTTGCGTTAGTCGCTTGTTTGTATTTGGCCTGTTGACCATACAAGCCAATAGTTGCTTTAAAACACATAATATTTAGTTAAACTAAAAATACAGCTTTCCGAAATTATTAAGCATAGGAAGTAAAAGTATATTAATTTCTTTTCTCTCGACCGGGGTGGGCTCTGCCAAGCTCATAAATAAAGGTCTGTGATGAAACGTAAATATTAACCGGCTCATTAGCCGTAAGAATTTGTTATAAATCCAAGCAAATGATAATTTTGATTATGACTATTTTACAAGACCAAGTCACCGAAGTATATATAAAAACAACCGTATAACCGTCTCAAAACGTCTTAACGAAAAGACCATCTGCATCGCATAATGACAATAATATTGGACCTAAAAGCATCAGGGATTAGAACATTCTGATTTAAAGAAAAAGTCTAATCAATGTATTAACTATCTAATTTTATTATTTGTTTATATCTATGAGAAGTCATAGTTTTGCATATTGTTTATCAAATTGTCTTAGTAACTGTTTCTGTTCGACCAAATGTTTCGACCATCTGTTAAAGGAACCATAGACTATGATTATTTAATGTGATTGTTATGACTCGTTTCGAGACTGTGAATAATTTCTTGCACCAATAAAGTGCATAAAGTCGAAACCCATTGAGATGAGACATTTGTCATCGTGTAACATGAGAGAACAAATATAAATACAAGTGCGCAAACGTATCTTGGACAACCACCGTTTCCTTCAACCATGTCATCGGTGATTACGCACCGTAAACCTAAGCGTGTTAAATCAAAGATTCCTGCAAAATTGGATTTTACGGGGAAGAACGCAGTCATGGTTGTTGTTGATAAAAAGTCAACCAGAACAAAAAATTGGCGAAAAAAGACTGTTCGAAGTGCAAAAAAATACTGCCGATAACAGACAGTTTGGAAAATTCTATTGACATTTTGGAAAGTCTGCCAAAAGAGTTAATTCACGTCGAAGACTGCGTTAATCAAAAAGAATTAGCGGCTATGGTAAGATTTACTTATCTGTTCTGGTAAACTTTAAAAGCGTTTTATGTCAGTCGACTAATAAGTTCTCTAACTACGCAATATTTTTTTCAAAGAATAATATTAACAAGAAAGAGCTAACAACTATGGTAAGAATTACTTGCCGTCATTTTATGTCCAACACTTTCAAAACACTCAACAACAATATTTAAAGTCTTTTTCAAGATTGCCGCGCGGCCGAAAACGTAGAACTGTTCCTAGAGAGTTAGATTTTACAGGACATAGCCCTGTCATGGTAGTCGAGCATTTGGACAAACAAAGAATGGCAAGAGACGACAAAGAAGAACAGCCTTTTGTTAATTTGGATAGGTCCGTCGATATTGTAGACTTTGAGTATGAGTGCAAAACTGTGGTAAATTACAGTATCGACAAACAAAAACTTGCACAAATGGTAAGTTATTGACAAGCGACTTTGCGTTATTAGAACAATAATTAATACATCTACAAATTTTTAGACTGCAGAGGAACTGAGAGATTATGCAAAATTTATTGCAAACAAAATTAATCTCAACCAACCTAACGATTGTAACTTTTGAGTTGATAATCCTTGGGTTATTTTACGATACATCGATAAGCTATATGAAAATTATATGAATTTGGATAATAAGCCGTTCCCGTTGTGTCTTAACCCAACCATTATTAATAAGTTTTTTATGTACGTTTGTATGCAATAATTATAAAATAAAATTATACAATAACACGGTACGACGACAATAATATGTTTGCTCTGATACGGACGTTCTCTTCGTGAGCAAAATCATACCGTAGACCACTGAATACAGTGCCCCCCCAAATAGACCAAGACACTGTTTAGACATGTTTTGGGCACAATCAGTTTACGCAATGCGTTACTAATAAATTTTAAGTTGACACAAAACATGACTAGAATGTTTTTATCACTCTCGTGATTGCACTTACGAATGTTACATGTTACTAACACATATCATCTTGAATTGACATTTTAACGTGGTATACTTATAAAGCCGGATGTTCGTAGGCGCTCTGCTAGGTAACTAGGAATATTTGTAAAAACTTAAATATATGCAACAGCAATTTGAGTAACACTGGGAATGATAAACCTTATCGCATGCATACTATGCGTATAGTATTAGTAATATAAATGCTTTGGGAAATCACTATAACAGAAGATTATCGAAGCACGTAACAGCGGAGATATAGAATTGCTGTATACATATTCATATTATATTTATGTATGTAGTATTTGACATTTTCGGAGCGGATGTCTCGATCTCTAAAACTGGGAAGTTTGAACAAAAGGTCATAAGCGCAGCTAACAATCGTTATGAGAACAATAACTTATGGTAAATGTCAATTTTTAATTTGAACAAACAAACAAAGGGTTTTGAATCTAATTGCCTTCGGATTACTAACAATACTTTATTAGATAAATTCTGGTGTTAATCGATCATTTCTGGTTGGCTTGCTATTCAACTATTCTGTGCTAGGGAAAAAACTAAATTGTACGAAAATAATCTGATAACCAATACCTCTTCACCTAATTGCCACTGTCTATGATGTACACGCCCAATTATTGCACACGGACCATCCCGAAACTCACACACAAATATGTAGATATTTTGCAACCAATTATATACTTATCAATGACTTTCTAAACAATTGTGAACCGGTACTTCATATTTATTGAAATTTCAAAGGTCAATATTAGCGTCCCCCCCCCCCCCAAAAAAAAAAAATATAATTAAGGAAACTGTTTAAGATATGTGGTCTTAAAATTACGCAAACTCTGGTATAAATAAAGCCGAAGCAAGCAGAAGCAACTTGGGAAATAAATTTTTGATTTAACACGTTTAAGTTTACGATGCGTAATCACCGATAACATAGTTTATAAGATGACAGCTTCCAAGAAACGCTTATTTACATGTATTTACGATAACTGATAACTGATAACTGGCATTCAACTTTCTGACCGCGCCTTCATAAAGTATTGGCATAAGATTGAATTTAGCCCTTGCGTTCCAGCAGCATAACCTCTTCTCTCGTCGCAGCAAAGAGAAATCGACTCAATTGGTGCTTTGAGAGAAAAAAATGGTCAGTAAGAAAATAGGCAACCGTTATTTGGAGCGATGAAAGTCGATTTACTATTATTAAAACAGATGAACCGGGGCGTATTTGGAAAACTCTGGAATACGCGTTAATATTGAAAACATTATTTTTTCGGTAAAACATGGTGGTGGTGGTGGTATGGAAATACTTTTCAGGTAAAGAATTGGGGCTACTTGTTAAAATAGAAGGCAAAATGGTTAGATTATCCTACATAAAAATACTTGGGAAAACATTTATTGCGTGAGCTACCAATTTATTGTTGTTGAGTGGATTGCGGCGAAAAAGATCAAAACTTTATCCGATTCGCCAAGTCAATCGCCTGACTTGAACATTTCATTTGTGGTCCGAATTGGAACGTCGTATTCGATATCCCATCCAAGAGAATTAGAGTTAGAAATTGCCTTACAGGATGAATGGGCTCAAACTCCTAACCATATGCAGCTTCTATATAACTGTCGGAACAACTAATTAGCAAAAAAGAATTCCATTAATATTTGTGCAACAATAGTATTTTTAAGAATCCCATCTATTGTGAGAGTTTTTTTAATTAGTCCTGTATGGCGCTTTTAAAGAAACAGAATAAATCATAACGTCGATATGCACACGATGTTGCATAGGAATATACGAAATTCTTCCTGCTCCGCAGACAAATAGGGTCAAAAATACGATGTGTTACAAAAGTCTTTGGACACAAATATTTAACCCATGACTTTATATCAGACAATTAAGATACTCTTTAAAGAAGCTAAAAGCTAGGCATTTTATTTATTAAGTATAAGCCGGCCATGTTCTTAATTACGGGATTTAATGTATCATAAACTGTTCGAATTCCGCAATATTAATATTTCTTGGTTGTTGTTTCCCTATTCTTCCTTCACAATGACACATAAGTTTTCAATAAAATTTATATGAGGACTGTTAGTGGGCAGTCCTTAATAGCTAAGTTGTTAGAATCATAATTTGTTAGAGATGCCACTTCTACCGAGCATCTTATTAGCTCCAACAACGTGTCACTTATGATATCAACATGAATTGGTCAGCCATGTTTACACAGTATCGGAAGAGACTGTTGCAGACTTAATTTAGTCCTGCTTGTCTAAAGACTTTTGTAACACACTGTATGAATTAATGATCTTTCTACAGAACTAACCAATTTCTAAACAATTATTGAAATAGAGCTTATAAAGGTCACATAGGCATTTCCTGAAGACGCATCTTAATCGATCTCGATAACAAACAGAAACCATGTTTGTGAGATAATATGTGGAGAAAAGCAAGCAGTCGTTCTGAAGATTCTATCTTCACGTACGGCAATACGTCGGGAAGATCAACTCCGATTAATTTCACGGTTTTTGGATTTCTTTCCGCAATTGTGAATAGTAGTAAGTTGTACATACATTCTGGTGATTTGCGTTCTTTGTTGATTGCACCTACGAGTGAAATACACACGTTCTGGATGTGGCCTGTTATCTTACAATCATGATGTAAATAAGGGGCGATCAAGGCTGACCAATGAGATAATACCGGAGTTGATGGTCCAGAACAACACCTGATATGTCGTACAGCTCATAATCTTTCTATTTATGGAGGAAAGGGCCAGTTGAGCAATCCAATGAAGAAATAATGTTTGAGCTCGTGCAACGTGGTAAAATTCCGATTATCTATTACCCGGAGTAAGATTTTGTGTCATGAAGACACAACTTTATTACAAGATAACATCTTCGAATGATGTCCGCTTACGCAAAGGTTCGATTTACAAAAAGATGGCTTGACTTTTTTATCGTCTCGACCAAAATTTGTTTATTGGTAAATATAAATTACTTGTGGATACGAAAACATAGGGACACAAATGTCGAATTCTTATATCTGCACATAATAATAAGCCCCCTAATACTCAGGAGATGCATGCGTTAAACGGTCTGTAATTAAGGAGAATGCCATCTTGTACGCGGTTGTTATATCAATAAAACTTTATTACACGTCGTTTAAATGGCTGGTCTCTTGATTTTACAATAGATTCTAAGAGAGAGTAACTCGCCAATTGGCAAAATATTAACTATGGGGTTTTTAAGCTTGTCAAGAAGACATTACAAATTCGTTATTCCAGCCTATTGTCAAAGAATGATGATCACGATAAATTATGTCAGCCGGAGTAGCTTTGTTAGTACATGTTGTGTTCACGCTTTTATGTTATTTACAGTTCCTGGTATTTGAAAGTATCATTTGTAAACACGTTAACATAAGTCTACTATTTGTTGAAATTAACGTTGTATGTCTAACATTTTTTACTTTACAGCACCTCTGCTCGATGGCTGTTACGTTAATCCATTCCCTGGTCGCCCGTTGAAAGTGTGAACTAATGTGTCTCGGATATCAATATGGTGGATATGTAACATTATCCTAACAATAAGGTTTCCGTTAAAGTCCGTGTTAGATTCTTATAATTGTTTGTATGAGTTGAACAATTCCGGTTGTTCTTTTAACCGACTATTTAATGTCTAAGTCGACCATTTAACAGCTGAATCAAGGACATGCGGTAGAAATATTTTCACTACCCTTGGCCATATAGTCACAGTTTACGAGCATTCACAAAAAGAGCATACGTTTTATACTTTATTTGTTTTATTTTATTTTGTTTTATTGTGTTAATTTAGCAGAGCTTAGATAAAATACACGATATTAACCATTACTGATTATCATAACAGTTATTGTTTACAAAATTTTGATAACTATATCAAACATAAAAAGTCAGAAGCACAAAAAAGAATTATCCGTGTTCGTTCCTCGATCGGGAAGTACGACCAGGAATTTTATAGTCATTCAACACCCTTCTCGATGGATACGATGCAACATCGCACCACCATATTACGCTCAGAAGGGGTGAATGACTCTTCCCACTATTATGAAAATGAATTACATAAGATTATTAGTCATATACGTGATCAAAGTCAAAATGATAAGTATATTGTCCTTATCCATAGGGCATAAAGTCAAGTATATGCCCAGATGTTTGTAGCACTGATATACCTATATCATTTGACAGCAGCAATAACAACAAGCATTATAAATAAAATTACATACTTCCAGGGCGTAGTGCATTGTGCCTGATCTATACAAAAGCATCACAGAAGTGTAATGAGCGATTTAAACAATTTTAGAACAAAACAGATAATTAAACCTTCATGTCATATATTACCTTCCGGGTAATTAAAAATTGTCAAATCGCGTATTGTAAAGAGTTCCAATAAGAGTGACATTCTCCTAATATACCGCATTCACGCAATCAGTTTATGCTGAATAAAAAATTGAATATGTAGTTCCCGAATTATGTACCTGCCGAGACCAATATTTCATGGTGAATTTAGCAAATAATGCTTATTGGTTTTTTCCCCTCTTTTTCTTTTTACTCTTTTCTTTTGTTTTGCTTTGGAAGAAGGATAAGAAAAGAAAGCGGAGAAGATTTTTTGTAATACGCATATAATTTTATTAAAGAGGGGGCTAATTACCAAGCGCCGAACGTCTATATATAAGCATTGCTGTACTACGATGGCGATGCATGCTGAGCAATCGATCAAATTTAGATAACAATTTTAGTAAGTGCAATACAGCACCAATAACAGATGATCTAAATAATAAAATAAATTTGTTTCTTACGGAAAAAATTTCTTGCTTGATTATCAAATGTCAAAATTTTTTAATCATTACATCATTTTTAGTAGTTGGTATGCGATCGTGTTTGCCGCCAATGCAATAACAAACAAATAAAAACTACCACGTGTAACTAACAGACGAAACAATACGAACGTATCATATTGTACCCCTGGATCCTTCTAGTCACACAACGTTCGTTACGATATAAAATCTTCGATATGAGCGTAAATAATATTATAAAATTTGGTATATTAAACTCCTTCGCCACTCCGCCTTTTGAATTGTGCGTAAAATAATAGAAGTGATTGTTCTAAAAGTATTGATGTGACAATATAAGTATGTCGAATAGATTGAATAGATAACGTCGTATGAGTGAGTTACTCATCGTAACGAGAATCAAGACGGCCGAAACGTTAGCAACAATGTAATGATAAAGGATGAATTAGAATATAACGGCTGTGATACTAATATTCAAAACGAAAACTCGGGATGTTAAACCGCAAGACCGGAAGTCAAAGATCTAATTTGCATAAGGATATTTGTTGATACTAGACACAATTATTCAAAGGAGTTTACTATTGCTGGGTAGACAAATCGAACAGTTATTATTATAGCAAAGTGACAATAATTAACTTGGGGCCACAAAAAACTCTTTTAAGGTACTATAGTAATAATCACCTTATGATGTTTCAATTCTTTAAACGCAACTCGATCTGTTGCTTACAAAATATAACCGCTCAGAAAATTTTCTTAACAAAACAGAAGACACAGATATTCGGTTGTTCGTTAATTAAAATTCAATCAGTTGAAAAGTATAGGGCTTGTTGGACCGGTTTTCAGTTCTGATTATTTGCACAAGTAATTCCGTATCAATGTTTCTTGTCAAAATTTTAGATCATAACCACCATTGATTCAAAGTTCTAAAAAAGTATTAATATTTTAGTTCGATTTACCGACTTTTTTAGTATCGGCGATACACTGGTTTGGTTACTAACTGAATGGTAATTACTCGTCGCTTTTCCTCAAAGTTAAAAAAACACTAGAGTCAATAGTGACAAAACCGCTTCCTGAAGAAGACATTAAAAGAAAAAGACATGGTTTGTAAACCAATATACGCCTGACATTGTTAAGCGACGAGTTTAAGAACTACAGCTTTATTAAAGCGTCAGATACGAAGTGGAAGCTCTGAAGAGACACGTGAAAGTGAGGATGGGGTAAACATGTCTGCAAAACACTCTGATCGAGAATGACTTGTCGCAGGATTCGGAAGTTTGACGGTGGCAGGTCAGTGAAGGCGCTGCTGACTAATGCAGAGAGAGACTACGCATTTTAGAACAGACATCTTAAGAGAAAAGGTAATTATATCATTCTGAATATACATACCGTTTTTTTATTGTTCCAGTATACAAAGACACCAAGGCCTCGTCCTACTATATTGATCGATTGATGATGCTAAGAGAAATTGAAACCTAGAACGCGACTTTAAATTACCGGATGGTTTGGAATAATCATTTTGCAAAAGGTTTTTTTATGATGCATACTAAATTTCTGTTCAACAACATGTAAAGCACGGGAAACTTTCAAGTGAACAGCGCGAACGGATGCCTTAACGGAGTTAAACAAACTGTTACATCAAGTACAGATGTTAATCCGATCGAAAATTATGGAAATATAAAGGCCGTACGGTGAAAGTCGGATGGGTAATTGAGATGTTGCGGATTTAATTGTGAGCTAACCTGCATCGTATAATGCCGTTATTGAGGCAAAAACTGGGAACATTAATTAGTAGATTTTATTTACAAAAAAAAAGTCACACATATCAACCAATAATAGTTGTTTATTTGAAAATGTGCTTATCAGATAGTATAGTCAATAAATGTGTCGGATTAAAACGAAATCGGATTAAAATGATTTTTGGGAGTCTTGAGTCCTCCCTTAATTTCAGAAGCCACACCTATTAGCAAACGTTACCTAATTCTAACCCAAATTAAAAATGCAAAGAAAAGAAAAGAAAAGAGGAAAAGAGAAAAAGAGAAAAAAGAAAAAAAAAAGCAAAGCAAAAGCAAAAAAAAAAAAAAAACAAAAAAAAAAAAAAAAGGAAGAAAAAAAAAGAAAAAAAAAAAGAAAGTCTAATTCTAACTGTTCGAAAAAAAAAGTGGTTTAATCCAATTTTGTTTTAATATGTCACAATAATAGTTCAACAAATAAGACTTCGTTTATTATAGTAAAATGACTCGACAGTTATCTGCAGACTTTTTTTTGACACTTTTATAAGTTGCACAGCATACTACTATCTTCAAAGAAAAGGTTACTTTTCGTAGAAAAATTTTAAGGAGTAAGTACCAATAATAATAATTACTGCAGGTGGCGTGCATGCGATCATGTGAAATCAAGGGGAGTAAGATTGGTGATCTTTGATCGATATCACAGAGATTTTTGATCATCTGATTTGTCAAATCAACATAGTCCAGTATTCATAGAAGCTCAATTAAAAGACTATCCAAAGAAAAAACGCCAAATCATAAAGTGCTTAAAGAGAAATTAGTTACGCTACCATCGTAAATGCAAATGATGAAAAAGAGAGAAGATAAAGAGACGAAAATTTAGTAAGAGACATCTGGTACTATAATACGGTATAGTAACTCCGGCGGCTGAGTCAATGTTTGCTACTAGACTTTCCTTATTAAGACCAGGCAGCTTATCTTTTGCCAAACACAATTTTTTGATTAATATAACAAAAGATGTTGTTAAATGTACTATGTCAATAAACCAGGAGTAAATATTTTTGAAGCGTACATGATGCAACCTGTTTAATAGCATCGCATACACTTTACTGTTGGGGAGGCAATATTTCGCCGACAATCATTTCATCGACAAATGTTCACCAGCATTATTTCAAAATTATCCTTTTAAAGTAATTAATTGTCGGTGAAATGACTGTTCAGTAAAATGATATGGACCCATTAAACAGTCTAAAAACTACCGCAACGAATTGTCGCGGAAAACATATCTTTTCTAAATATACGATAGTAATAATTTACGCTTCAAGATAGCGTCAGACGTAGATTTGATACGAAAAGACTAAATTTCGAATCTAAAAATTTAACACGTACGCGATCATCATGACAGAAAGTGTGTTGAATAGTATTGAAGATAATTGTTTATGAAAAGTAAAAGTTACCGGTCAGATTTGATATTTCACCTGCGAAGAACTTGAAGACTCCAAAAATGCTCCAATGTGTTCGTCAAGTATATAGACGATTTGCAATACGTTTTTGAAAGCACCTGTCTCTGACGGCGCAGTCGACAACCGAGTTCTAATGTTGCTAAGGTTTGTCCTAACAAAAATACGCGAGCGAGTTTTTTACGTGTGGATAATAAATACGAAACACTGTAAATCTTGCATTCGCTTTTCTAAATTACGTAGACACGAATCAGAAAACCGCAAAAAGAGTCTTACAAGATTGACATACTCACTTCGGGATGCAGTTATAAGCATCCATTTTGTTGTTGAGCTGGCCATAGAATGCGGCATATACGGTATCAGTAAAAAAACTTCGTTGACATTGCAGTTCATTGTAACGGTAGTGAACGTAATTTCATCACATGGGATAGAGCTCGATTGTCGATGAAATGAATATTCTCGGAACAGGCATATGGTGAGGGTAGAACCTGTTCACTAGATGACGGCATAAACATTATGAGTATCGACCATCGTAATTTATGACTTGTAATTCATTAACATAATTCTTATTATCTCGTATCAATTCTCCCGAATTAATGAAAAATCCAATAACTTACCTAATACCATTACAATTAAAAACGCACGCTTCAACAATTTGACAAGACTTTTCTTTCGGAAACGGTAGAATAGACCCGCTTAGATTTCGGTGGTGGCCACGATGAGTTTGGCGTAATGCTGGCAAAAAAATTCGAAAATTCGAAGTAATGCGACCCACCTTTGTGATACTAGTTAGTAATTGTTTCTGCGTTCAACACAACCTGTTCACAAAACCAGTCACTTCCTACAGAATGTCGTTGAAGAATCAAACTCTGGTTCTTCGATTTCGGTCGGTCAAGGAACGCCATTCGCGAATGAGCAGACAGTTACACAAGTATGCCGTTAGTCAAAGACGCAAACCAAAACATAAATACGCGCCTAACTGATGAACGAAATATTAATCGTATCGACCATTAACAGTTCCGTGTGGCAAAAATTTCTAAAGCAAACTGGAGAATAGAAGACAAATTGCGTTATATTGCAAAAATATCAATTTTGTTTTAACGGAAAAAAAAGGTCTGTCGTCGACCAAAAATATTTATTGACCGCTTTATTCCGAATGCTAACATGAGCATTACGTTCATTTGTTGATTATACCTAGAATTGAACATAAAGGTAAGATGTCTGATCTATTCTTTCGCTAATAAATTTATACTTAAGTTTGGTGAAATAAAAGATAAAAACTTACCAAATATTATCAGCTTTCTAAGCGAGTTGGAAACTGTTATATAACCTCCAAAGCAAACATTGTTTCCAATTCATAATACGAAAAAAATTGTTGATTTGAGAAGAAAGAAACATTCAACTTCATTTTTCGTGACCCGACAGGATCAATCAGAGTATTTGTAAAGAGTAGTAATGACAACCTGCCACTGTTACGAATTTACATCAAGAGAATCAGTAGCATGCTCATGCATGGTCAAAGGGAAGGGACCAAACTGTAGATGTATTCGACGCGATACAAGCCATTAATATAAAGTAAGTTTTGGTTCATACAATATATTATCATCTTATTAGACAATAAAGACGATAGTAATTACTTGCCTATTGATAAAGGCTTCTTCTAAAGCTTCTCTATTTCCGGCTCGGTAACGTTGATGTCTATATTTTATTCTTTCTATGGATTGATGAGCAGTTAAAATATCGATATATCAAGTGCCGAGTTCGCGGCGGTGAACATCTTGTTAACAGAGTGCTCTCAGTCGATAATGATTGCACACAGCTCACGTCTCTCGCCGTCAGCACCTGAATATAAAAAGAGAGTAGATATAATCGATTAAGTTGATGAACGACTTTATGTGATTATAGTTGCTATCGGCTCGAGTCAGGCTTACTTCCTCGTAGTCATTATGATTTGATGCATCAATAAAAATTCAGCCGTGCCTGTTAACGAGGATCTGACATGATTGTAGGGTGGGAAAAGTCGATTATTAAAAGTTAATAGAAAGTCTAATAATGCCGCATCTGAAGCTAAAGTTAGTCTAACTCGGAGTTAATTTTCACAACATACATGCTCCTCCGTCCAAATAATGTGAGGTTCAGATAGTCGAACATTTCTTATGAATGAAACAAATGTAATACGCACACAGTTTTATTAATAATTTCATATTGTTAGAAAGCGAAACGCAAGACCGTTTAGCCATACAAATTGTCCGAGTAAACTTTGGGGGCGCCATGGAGTACAGAAAGTGTGCGTAACAAGTCGTGCATAGCAGCACAAAGACAACACTGTTACTTGAGGTCATGAAAAGGACGGCAGGATAGTGTTTGGGGGAAGACAAACAGCTTGTGTCCGTTTGGTTCGGGTTAGCTTAAAGAACGAATTCGAATTTTCGTTGGTAAGAATTACAAAATATTGCGTGGTTGTAGTAGAAGATTGTATACCAGTTCATATATGCCGTTACAGTAAAATTAAAGTATCCAACGAAATACCAGTTCATATTATACCGTTACAGTGAAATTAAAGTATCCAACGAAATACTAGTCTCATAAAATATTAATGAAATTATATTATAAGAACATGTTGTGAGCATAGACACAACGTTTGTAATATATTATTAATTATTATAAGTTATTTTTAGTTTCTCGTGACATTTAAGTTAGGTTACTACTGCGTTAAGATTCGATTATCATCTGGGTGGGAAATTTAGATCTTACACTTACTTTTAAATACATAAGGTCTTTGTCACGATTTTACTAATATTAAGCCGTCTCAGAGACCTTATCAAGCTATGGCAATACACAAACATGTTCGTGCGTCCGCCGTTTTTGGAAGTACAAATTGCAGCATGTCAGCTGACTTGGCTTACTCGTCATATAGTCAATAAGCGAACTAGTGTTTTGTTACACCAAATCCTTCCCGAGGCTAACCTAAAAAATGTATTAATTAATGCACATGAATTGATCATGTTTAAATATGACGTCTTACATATTAATTTAAAATGCGAATATACCAAATGCCTTTCTGCGTACATGTTCTGCTGTAGAACATCAACTATGATACGACCTGATCGATCATCTCACGGGGTTCCTACGTTACGGCAAAAGACTCATTCTTACGTACATAGAAGTCTAAATAGAACAATTTTTTCTTGTGTTCTTTTTCGCTATAATTGTGCGACTGGCGGTTATTTCTGAAAAAGTATCAATAAACCTATGGCTATTGAACGAGAGAAAAAGGCCTAGTGAGTGATAAAACTACCATCACCAAACAACAATCTCACCAACAAGTGGCTCGGTTGATTCAATGCTACCCTCTCGTCGAATTCGAGATAATTGGCTCCATGCTCACAATCGAACAATACCATTTACAATGCAGTTTCCATTAAGTAACACACTTCCATTATTGATAATTCTTAAAAGGAGAAAAAAGAATATCTGTGACTTTCGGTTTTACCGGAACATTCCGTTGAGATAATATCCGGAATTGTAGTTTACTATCTAATATAAAATGCCGGTCCTATAGAAATAAAATTTGCTTTCATATTTACTATATTAGCATATATTTGATTACACAAGGTTGCATACCATACTGCGTCATATTCTAGAACCATTCGTTATCAGTGTAAGGATATCAGCTGCACTACTTTTTTTTTCTTTTAATATATATTCATATTAAGAAATGGAAATAACAAAGCAACCAATGCAAAACATACACGGATTTTCACCAGTTATTTAGATTGCTAAATTAATAACTCTCTTACGCCTTATTCTCTCACTTTTGTTATTTTACTTGCAATTACTTTATTGCGTAATGCAAAGGAAAACAGCTACGAACTGTTTGCCATAGATATATAGTTACTGCAAATGACAATTCATGTTGCTTTTTTCTGTTGACAAAAGAAAATTTTTTCATTTCCTAACGAGCATGCCAAAGATTGTTACAATGCTTCTAATGAGTATCGCATTTAAGACTTGATACATTTAATAAATAACGTATAATTCTGTGTTTGATTGTACAGTTACGGTACTTAGAGGTGAAACGATAATTAATTAGATGTGTTCACAAGCGAGTGGATTATCAAATATTGACTTAATATTATTTTAACTACGATGTATATTCGGCTATGTTATGCATAAACAAGTGCTGTGAAACCGTAATTAAAAGAAAACAATAAGGTTGTGAAGACAATAGAAAACGCGTACGGCAGTGAGCCTATTACGGCTTATGTATTATCTATCTATTCAATCAAGGTGGGGTATTTCGTACTAACCAATAGCCTTCACGTGGACAAGTGAATGACCTTTGATAATTTCCGCATTGGTCAATTGACATTAGATAATAATGTTTTATGCATATATTTGCGACTTTGGCCACATGCTTTATTAATGTATTTTAATCCTTAAGCAGTTGATTGTTAACATATTGCATAGCTTACTAATTTTATAATTCTTATAAACGTCATGACTTAAACATAGCTGCATAGAAAATATATAATGGCATTTTTTAGACAAGTAGGCGTTCTATGGACATCTGCTGACGAATGCGAGATTCAGCCCGCTTTGTCTGATACCAAAAACTTTTCACCATCCTTGGTGTACGGCCAGGAAGACTTGAGGCAATCCTACTCCATTTAGGTCCGTAAATATTATACATAGTTTCAATAGTGTTACGTTCGAATGAGTCAAGTGGACTGTTATCGACTAGTCAAAATAGATGGATAGAATGTTAATCAACATCGTGTCACTGAAACATTAAATTAGTAAAACCGTGACTATTTTCTGACTTACTGCCGGGGTACAATGCATTGTACCACCTAGAGCGTCAATAACGATAATAATAACGGAAGAAGTGAGTAAGTAAAAACATTGACGGCCTAAACTTTTCGAAGCATGAAAATCAATATCCATATTATCTAAGCACCTTTCAGAACACTGCCTTGCAGTTCTTGTTTTCATATTACGCGAGATCAATCCCCACGCAGGACCCAAAGTTGTATAAAGTTCTATAAGCAGGTCATCTTCCTGTTTGCCAGCGATAGAACTTAGTGTGTGAAATAATCGAATGCATCAATAGTAAAATAATGATGTAAATGCTACGAAATTACCTGAGGGTTCCAATACCTCCTCATAACGGGCTAACAGAAATAATCGTATAATGAGAAACGCAGTCATAGCTATGATAGTAACAATCTATAGATATGCTATCTTACCGTCATACTAGAATTGATATAATGAAGTACCAAAGAGAATGAAAAAAGTAATAGATATTAATTAATAACCGTACGTTGGAATCAAAAGAAATGCAAGAGTTTTCAAGTGTGGTATTTATAAATTCAAACAAAATGGTTATGACTTAAGCAGAACTGGTTTATTTTATCACTATTTGGTTAATCAGATTATAAATTTTTCGGTCAATCATTCCGATAGAAGTGCCCTGCACACCCTCAAGCATGATGTAACCTTATTTGATCATTATGTATGAGGCTTATTCAGTCTTTTACCATAAAAAAGTCCGAAGTGCTCTATTTAACTTTTTTTAATATTACCGTCAGATTTTTGGGCCTGGTCCAGACAGTATGTAACACTTAATAGTAACGACATATGCTTTAATATGACTAGAAACTTGTGGAAGCGCGTTAAGTGACAATTCGTTTTATTTTGTAAAACCCAAGCCAGATGCTGCATAAGCAGGCCAATGCAAAAGTATATTTACTTTGTAATAATGCTAATTTGGGGTTATTTATCTTACAAGTGGCAACCTCATGCAGATAACGAATAATATAGACAGGCGTAAATAAAGTTTAACAATGAGCGAATGCTTGAACGGCCGATTCCTGAAAAAAATTTTTTTTTAATTTAAACGTTTATATAATTGTGCAATCTAGATAGACGAATTATTTGAGCCTCAAAATCTTGTGAAAATAATGGCTAAATAAACCCATAGCACAAACAGCACCAATAGTACAAATATGTTGTAACTTTATTTTGGATGTTGCAGCACAAATATTATTAAAACCTATTACGATTCGCAACCCATTTTTGCAGTCATTTCAAATACAACTAGTTGAATGAAAAGAGAATAGTTTACCTCAATAACAGTAGCACATATTTTTTGATATTTTCTTGCTTTGAAGGTGCGTTCTTGTCCTAGTGTTTACGATGTGTACTCAATCGTTATTTATTAATAACAGTAAACACAACAGTAAACAGCAAACAAATAAAAATGTTAACATTATTAGCAATACACCACAATAATAATACTTATGGCTACTCCTGTGCTTCAGGGTTGTAGACCACCATTTACCTATTGTTTAAACGGCCGCAGCCCGACAACAATGTTAACGAATAATTCTTAGAATGGCCATTTAAATACTTTAGTTACGTAAGCAAAAGGATAAATAGCGTCAAAATCCTCGCATGACGGGTCTTTCTCGGATGTTTTCCGAATTGATAATGGAGAAATGGAGCGTTCCGAGAAATTGCCAAGGCGCGAAAAGTTGTTCTAACTCCGACGGAAGTAAAAACTAATTTCTTTGTTAGCTATTTGAAGACAACAAAATGGTAAATAAGAATAATATACTATTTTAGTATATTATTTCCTAATTTTTACAAATTGCCAAGTCATTAAATCGACTTTAAAAACAGTATTATCGACCGCTGAACTCAAATGAGGTAGTCTATTCTATGCCAGAACAAACCGTCTTGCACTAATTAAACATCTGTCTGTTAGCAGTTGGCAGAAGCTTTACAAAGTAATATGAATAAATACGTGATTCTCGAATTGTTCCTCGGAAGGATAACTTGACACGTAATGGGCAATAAGGTCTATTTTGGATGATCAGTAGGGGAGGACAAATTAATATCGATTATTAGGTAAAATAGGGTTTGTTTACATCATTGATGATCATTAGTTTATAGTTGGTGTAAGAGGCTTCGCCCACATATTTACTAAAAGCGTTATTGTTCACAAGTTTGCGTAAACTTCGGTTATGTGTGTCATCAATCGTGCGTGCAATCTCCGGGTTAGATTAGAGCTGTTATTGTTAAACTTTTACAGTCTGCAGAATGCAAATTACGCAGTCAGAAATGTTTCGGTCGGTATTTCTATTTATCCTTTGAGGTTAGTACATTATCGTTTAATAACAAAACGTATAACCTGTCATATTTATAGAAAACCGCCAGTGAAGGTAAAAATAACTTAAAAACCACTGAATTACCCAAACAATACCAAAATGCCAAGTATGAACATTACGAACTTGATGAAAAACGAGCAAATGTGTGCGTAGTTTTACTGTTTATACCACAATTTAAATGTTTGACATGTGTTTTAAAAAATTTTCCGTGGCGTTTACAATAATGAGGGGTGGCAGCACAAGAATGGAAATTATTCATTGCGCCACGAACGATATCACATGAAAATCTTATTATTTGTATACTTTTGGTAATATATGAGTTCATCAGTCGTTTATTAATCTTGCCAATTATGGATAAAGTTTCAAATCCTTTGAAAATATTCAAGTCGGAACGTCTAGCGATTACTTCCGTCGCTTTTACCTTTAAGCGAAGCGGGTTTGTACAGTTTGAATCTTTCTTCCTGTTGACATAGTTATTTACGACGTCTATGTCGAATTTAAAGCCTAGTTTTTTTAAGAAAAATATGCATTGATTGTTTTTCTCTCCATACTCACACCGAATTGACTTACGCAAGCCATCTTTACCAATACTTGCCATGATAAGAGAAATTTGAAACGTGAGTATTGACTCCCGAGCTTGCCAAAAGAACGTATCTGCGAACGCTTTGCACATCAACTTCACTAATGCAATCATATTGGACATGGCTGTTTGCGAGACATAACTCTCAGTAAGTGAAATAGTTTTCTGTTCATTTTTGTCAAACTAAACGAAGTTATGTTGGACATCTGGGTTAGATAGTTACCCATTAGTCGACTTTGTTTAAACTCGCGTTAACATTTTGCTGTATCAGTATTGTTAGACGATATAGGGCTTGATCTACTGTATAATACCAATAGTATCAGCGTTATGAAATTTATGTCCCATCCGGAATGGGACATACGTTAGATGAGAGTTTACGCTCTGAACTGTAACGAAATCCAGCCCGAGTCCATTTTCTAATATCACATTGTTTAGGCAATAAGATGTGCTTAATTTGAACTGAGCCGGTCCGATTTTGAGATGGCAGAAAGACGTTCAGGTAAAGCAACATTATGAAAGTACAATGAAATAGTGATGCTTGGTTAACACAATTATGCAATAATTAGCAAAGATACAAATTTTGATTAAATGAAATGCCTTGGTATTAGGTTTTTATAATCGTTTTGCTGGTTTGCAAGAAGAGGCCGAGAGTATCGACCTACTGCATATAATTTGTGTATCGCAAAATACATTGCATGGTTCACTTTACAACAAGGCTGATGGCTAAAGATGGCGATGGAACAAGCTGGACAACAACTATATTCGTACATCAGGCATGATTCAATTTGATATGTCCGTATAATTGATTAATTATCTGATAATATAATAAACAACGTTATAGCATATGCAACCATGAATATTATTGTCAAAAAAGAGGAGACGACCTTCGAAATTACGTGCATGCAAGTCATATTGCAGCAATAACCAAGAACAAAGAAAAACAATACACAAAGCACGATTATTATTTCTGGCTTAAATGATGCCATAGAGTGTGTCGATTAATCCGTGAAGGAACATTGTTTCATTTTCAACATCTATACAGTGTTTGGACAATTAACGAGAAAATTAAAAAGTTACATAGTCTCTTCCGATTTCTGTGTAAACATGACCGGCCGATATCATGGAAGACACATTTCTGAAGTTAATATGCTTGGCAAAAAGTAGCAACTCTGACAAATTGTGATACTGGATTACAAGTTTCAACTACCATGTACTGTCTCTAACAGTCCTGATCTAAACCGTATTGAAGCTTTGGACCATTGTCAAGGGAAGAGTGGAGAAACGACAACCAAGGAATTCGATCAGTTTATGATATATAATAATAATGGGAATAATATTCCGTCAAAATGTTCTAAGTCGGTGAAATTATTGCCGATGACATATACATCTGTGAAATAATTGCCTGTGTTATGATTGCCTCCCCGTTGATGTCGTGACACCTTCTTGCAATGCGCAGAGCATTGTCTTGAAAGTATAATCCTTAAATTAGTTAAAGCGAAGGTAAAGATTTTCTATCCAATGAAAAATCCATTTCTTCTTTTATCTAACACATTTATATACCAAAAAAAAAGAAAATGGTAAGCACAAAGCAACATTAGTGTTTGCGATAATAATGATAATAAACGACTGTGTTTAGTTATTTTTATAAACTCAAACTTGATTTCATTTGTTCGTTAAAAATAAAGTTATAAGGCTAAAAATCTGGCAAATTGATCACAATTATTATTTTTATTGTCTCCGGAAACTAATCGCTTCAAAATTTGCATGCAGATTTTAGAAACGCCAAGCTATAAATGGACATAAATATTTTACCTGTTCGGATGGCTTTTTTCCAGGGACTGACACAGTTTATATTTCTGCGTCAACTATGGCAGTATTGACATATCATCTGACTGCAAAACTTAGCTTTTATTCTTAGAGTTTTTCATTGTCAGAAGTTTTTTTGACAAATACTTAACTATAGCTAATTTGAATACTTTTATTGTATGTTTATACTCAAAGCCTGACTCAAATCAATTTTCATTTACGACAGTTTGTTTGTCAAAAATCTTAGCGGTTGTCGTTATAAGTACAGAAATTACCAAGTAATAACATAAAACAAGTACAGTCGCTGGTATTTTTTGTAAAAAAATGATTTAACATTAACCGACATATAATAAGCAACGATGAAGGCAACTAGTTCAAAATCAAATTTATTGGGTTAATCAACGTGCTCGTGGCCTGTGAAGGAAAACAACTTGAGAGACCCACCTTAGCGGCGCTTAATAAAGGATACACGGAATGAATGTAATCGTGGCGTTCAAGGTTTTAGATTGTGGAAAGTATTGATACAATTTTCAACAACTTTTGGATAATAAAATGCTTGGCAACTGGCTGACCATATTGTCTAAGTTTTATCCCGTAGAGATAAAATTTACGAGGAAAAGTAAATTCAATTTCTAAATGTACGTATGTTTAGTCTCATAATAAAGAGTATTAGTATGTCGAGAAAAAAAATTGTAAGTTTGCATTAATGCAAAGTATAACCAACTAAAATATTAATAAATATGATATTAATAAACAAAGTTAAAAATAATAAATTTTATTTGCAAAATAATTAGTACATAACTTGTCCGAGTATTTGATTCAAGCGTCTTGAGTATTTCCATTAAAGACAAAATAATATTAAAAATTTGTGTAAACAAAATAATACGTGGGGGTGCTGAAAAGTTTTGCGCGTGGCTCTCTAACTTGACGTTGCAACAGTTTAAGTAAAAATTGGAATATCATAAAATAAACATACTTTCATGTAACAAATAAAAAAAGTAGAGGCAAATTCATTATTTCATTGTTGAGAAATTATTTGTTTTTGTAAAGCATAGTAAAAAAACTGGGGAAAAAAAACAAGCCTTAAGAACTATCGTTACTATTACTTTATTTTTGCTTCTTAGAAAAATGACAGAAATCTACGAAAAGTTGGTAAACCTAGCATTGTCTGCCAGCACAATTAGACGTTGGATTGTTACATTCAAAGATGAGTAAAAAAAAAAACGGCTCGTTTTGGACGTCCTCGCGAAGCAGTGATGCCAGAAAAAATTGCCAAGGTCGAAGATCTAACCTAGTATTTCTGCTGAAAAAGTCTCCTATATTTTGCATAATGAGCTGAGCCGGGAAGAACAGGTGAAAATTGTTTTTTGTGATATTGCTTCATTACTCGCGATTTATTTGTTCGTGACGTCATGCTTCATTACGACAATGCTGCGCCACATAAGACAAGCGGAACTTTCTCCCTATTGCTATAGTTCAGATCGTATTACTTGTAATTTTTTTCTCATTCTTTCGAATAAAGAAACGACTGAAGGAAAAAAGATTTGATAAGGTCGAAAATTTGGCGAAAGTCTCCCAAAACTTTGACTATGAGAAGTCTTTCTAAAGTTGGCGAAATCAGCTAGAACAAAGAGTTTAATGGTGTGTACTTTGAAGGAATGAAAATAGTTGTATTGATAGCTATTATGAAAGTTCTGGAAATAAAGTTAGTTCCGCACGCAAACTTGCATACGGTTAACGCATATATTATTCCTCCAATAATATTTTGGATTGTTATTTAAATTACATACCGATACAAATATTTCCAATTACGGTAATATGCGGGAACTAAAGCAAGATTTCGTCATGTGTAACGAGACATTATGATTTATTTCCTAATAAATTTGCTAGCATACATAGAAACTCGTTTCAAACAAACCTCTGCCTGCCCCAGTTAATATTGACGGCAGTTGAATATAATTCACTAGTCTGGTTTATCGGACCAATGATATCGATGAAGACGTTAACTGTAAAACCGGCTGCAGCGATATTTCAGTTTCAGCCCTATCATTAATTAGTTTGCTACCGGGGAACTTTAAAACTACCCAAATTTTATTTTAGATTCAACATAGCAATATCAGCAGATTTATTTCTTTACTACGTTATCACTTGTTTATCTTAATACTATGTAAATGAATACTGATGTCTTAATTTAATTAATAATTGGTGAATAAAGAAGTGAATATAATACAGTATATATATGCTACCTGAATAATGGCCTTCTTTGGTTCTCAATTAAGTAGACGAGTTATCGCCATTTGTTGACGAATATTCTGAGCTTCTGCACGTCTCATTGAGTACCAAAAATTCTTCACTTTTCGAGCAGTGCGTCCGGGGAGTTGGGAGGCAATACGACTCCATCTTGGTCCGTGAATATCATGCAGACTTATAATCATAAGGCGCTCTGTTGCCGTAAAAGGAGAGGAATTTACTGATTGAAATATGATACAACGAGTTAACACATACGACAGAGGTACTTGGGAAAAAATGTTAAATTGTGAGGGCAGCAATTACATACTTCCAGGCCGAAGTGCATTGCGCCATCTATCAGCGCATTCTCTCGCACTTTTGGTGTTAATGTGCCGTGCAATAGTAACCCAACTTGAACCATATCGTTTATGAAGCCTAATGAGGTTTGCATCTTCCTATTATTATTATGTGTAACAATCAATCGTAATAGAACAATCAGCCTCCATTGAATGGAATAAGAGATTTATATAAATGCGTCTTACTTGCGGAGACCAGTTTGTCATGTCGGTCAGTGTACAATCAAATGATATCTTGGACCCAGTTCGAATATGAAAAGTGTTATTCGGTTGTAAGCATAAAAAAGTGGTGATATAGTATTGAGACTCTTTCTTGACAAGGATGAATTAAAACCGTAGTGTCTTCCTTCTTGGCCTAGCGATTATGATGAGAATGTATAATGTGAACTGTTTTTGCTTTATAGCCAGTCATAGATAAAGGCAAAAGGTAATGGTATCGATAATGGCTTAAACAACCGCAGTAAAGAAGAATATAGGTTTTTATTATGAGATGGGGTCGAAGTAGAATTCAGGTACGGGCAATTAATTCGAGTATGGAGCAACGATATCGCTGCGTTGCCTTTTATCGCGTAGTGTTGTGAAACAGTTACGGCTGGGGTGAATTAAAGTTTCATTCTTACGGAGCTCTCTCCGAGGGGTCCCTACATCTTTGACATGGGACCCCTACAGTCATTTCTACGATAGTGTAAATACATATCTCGGTTTATCATTATGGTTCCAAGCAGCAAGACATTTGGACATTAGCATTTTTTATATAAAAAAGATGCGCTTTATTGGATAATACCACTAATACCAGACCAATGTCTATTTATACATAGCTTTTCGTACAGTAGTGGAATTCATAAATGACCAGTTAATATTCTCTTATCGTAACAGTAGTGTAACTAATGTATCCATCTCTATATGGGAGAAAGGGTTTCTTGCCGGGGCCTTAAGCTAACATATATTGAAGTTTGTGCTTCGGCCGAATGAACCTAGCATATATTCGATTTGTTCTTTGTCAATCCATTATTGGCAAATTTTTTGATTGTCCCGCCGATCCTACTCCCCATGTCATTAACATGCACACAAATGGGACAAATCGATCGTATTGGCGAAAGAGAAAAAAAAAAGAAGTATGCGATCGTTGGATAAGATCAGATCACCATCACCATAAATGCACTGGTTAGCCAATCTTTTGAAGAAGCACGGACAGCGTTTTTCATTATATGTCGCTTACGTAATCCAGCGCACAGTATCCGTTCCCCCAGGCAACTCGAAACAATAGTTGGGCATGCAGAAGTGGGGAAAGACGCCATTTTGCGTTGCGGTGCTTTTTAAAGAAATTAAATTTTATTTTTTACACACTCATGTAATGCGATGTAAAAAAATGTCATACTATATGTCTTAATAAGTCTCACTAATTAATTTAAATACTTGCGCTTGCATAATACATATATTAATTCTGTAATGTTCTTAAATTGTATTTTCCCCTGCGTTAAGTTGATTACTCATACTGTTTATATCCATAAAAAAACGCGATATGCGCCGACTTAATTCCTGCTGTCAAAGAATTCAATGAGAAGCAACTTAAGCAAGAATTCGTTGAACGGCCATTTTTTTACGTATTCTCGCGGCTTCTTCATCCATAGCATTCAAAGAAAGCCAGCATTCCATAATGCTTTGAGGAGAGCGGTGGAGAATTGCGGAAATTCTTACCCAACGGGGGCCGAATAATCGATACAAATATCGAATTTTATTACACTCAAAAGGGGCAAATGGACCGTCGATATCTGTTGGAATATACAACATAATCAAGTTGTGTTAGTAAGTTATGAGCTAAACGTTTGCATAGCGAGCGCGCAATAACATTGTTACGTACATCCTTGAAGCTCTCTCCATCTATCAGCGCATTGCTTGGACGTTTTATGTCTCAAATAGATGGTTCTTAACCTTCTCCTATTTTCTCTGTTGCCAAGACTAACAATAATGTCATTTTCCTGCGTTTACATAGATATTAGACGTTTATGAGTGCTTATCAGAGTAGCTAAATACGACTTACTATAGTTAAAAAATATACCTTCGACGACCAAAGTTTACTCATGTTTTTAATGTAAACAGTAGTTTGGTAGTACTATTTGACTTTGACCAGACACTCTATTAAGAGTCAGGCTTACCAACACTTGTAAGTGTCTTTCGACAAGCCAACGACAAAATAAAAGCTTATAAGCGTTTTGACAGAGGGTCATGAACGAACACAAGGAAATCAAACATTTCCGACAACCAAATATGTACTAGTCCAACGTGTTGCAATCCGAGTATTTATTATCATAAACTAACGAAGAGTAATAGACATTGACAATAGGATTGTCTCTGGTTTTGTTCACGACACGAATTGTTTACTGTTGCAAAGTAGTTATTTGTGCTTGTTTACAATCGTGTCAGGCAAATTGGTGCGACAACCATAAATCATGTGAATTAAAAACTGATTTTGTATTCATCTCCTTCTAGCCATATTAGAATGCTGGGTTAATATGAACTGCATCGGTTGGTTCATATATTCGGGGGGGTAATAATCAATTAAGCTTGTCAATCAATTATGGTACGTTCGGCTTATTAATGAATATCAAATTTTTAATTCCATGCCGCGACAGCTAATAAGATTAACTACATTAATCGCAGGATAGGTTGGAGGCATTTTTAAAGCACACAGGTATGTAAGGGACACTGGCAGACCCTGCAGCACGCCGTTTAAATGTATTCGGATACCTATCGGATGTGTATCTTCATTTGTTTTGGTCTTTAGAACAAAAAATTGTTTCGTGCCATAGTAGAGCATGTCAGTGTTTGCACGGTTCAGAGGTAACCTGCAGGTGGAAATTTCTTGTAATCATCGGGTAATACAGCTAAATTATCCGAAAAATATAGCGAGGCAAAAGCAAACGGTTCATATACAAACATGCATGAGAATTACATTACATGCCTTATCAAATATTGAGCTCACTTTCGTTCATTAACCCCTTTCCCAATTATGGAATCTAGGTTCAAAGAAACAAAGAAATCATCGTTGTGGAACCTGCGAACGCTCATGGGATCATATCAACATGACAAGAAATGTTATCATGGATGATAGCTGATAGGCAATGTGACTAAATGGTTATCAAACGTTTTACAATGCTAAAAAATTTTTTTCTACCATGCTTCCCGTGATTTTTAATTATACACACCATGTAAGAGAAGTTCGTCGTTCTGTAGAGGTCATGAGACGAAACACAAATGTATTCCTGTTGTTTACCATGACATATTCGGGTGCTGTACATCGTATTGGTTTATGGTAATGAATTAATTGTTTTTTTATAAACATAGAAAGCTTCAGTCTTTGCTATTACTATATATTTCCGAATATTATAATAAATATGCCACGTGGAGATCGGTTTCCACTTGTACAATTGCATTTTTAACCAACACTACGATTAATTTCTATAATAGTCTATTTTTGCTTTGCTTGTAAGACTATCTTTTCCTATAATCCGAAACTCGAATTCGGAAATATAGATCATGGGGGAAACATTTCCACTTCAACGGGGTGTTAGTCGTACAAATGTACACAATGAAAAATTGAAATGGTACCGATAAAATTGTTTATTATCGAACTAAAAGACCAATAAAAGCTATTAAAAAACTGCCAAGAGGGACAAATACAAAGACATTATATTCAAACTCATAAATGGTTGCGAGAAACGCAAGTGTATAGTGCTTTTTCGAATTGATAACATCCCCGTCAATATCGTTCATTTGGACTATCATTGTTTATTGTCTGCCACCATTTTTGTGTAACAAAAACACTGCACCCCTTGCAGCGAACAGCTCGGGTTTAATGCACTAGATCACGCGCAAAGGGGCCGATCATAATAGGATCGTCTGCCGCAGTTATACAATCTCATGAAATCCCATTGTTAAAATGAAAGCACATGCGAAGCAAAGCACTGATCCATATAACGACTCAAGTAACTGAACAAATCCCTCTTATAATATTCTAATCAATTAAAGATAATACTTAAATAATATACTTGCCTATTCCATTACACTATGTTACGAGATCCAATGAACGAGACATATACAATTGTGTCGAACAGCGAATATTAAAACTAACTATAACACCAAATGAAGGTCTGATAAAAGTCAATGTCTTTCCTTTTTATCTTTACCTTCAACATTAATGGCAAGCCTCGCACGTATTAGTAAATATGTATTATAAATCAGAATGAAAGTTTCCTGTAAGCAATTAGAAATATACTCGTTCGGCAAAAGTCTCTGTAATTGGATAAACATTATTTCATTCCGTATTCATGCCTATCAAGTGGTACAAAAGTATACATGAGTTATCTTTTACTTACAAACGGACGGTAAACCAATGATAAACAATTCCAGAACAATCGCCAAGCATTTTCCCTTCTCCCAAGAACTAAATTCAATTCGAGCGCTATAACTTACCGTAGACCTCTGACTAAAGTACTCGGGTATTTACATCTTAAAGGGGTATTTTACTCGGGGGATACTTTGGTACACTCATGGTAATACATTGACAACCCAATAGCGTTTATGTAAACACACTATAATAAACAGTTTCTTCCTCGCTGCAATATTGTAAATCAATATGGTGCGTACTAACAAACCTACGAAACATTCCTATTCTTGTGCAGGTGCAATCCACTCATTGCTCAATAGACTCTACAAAAATTTTGGCGGGCGAAAACGTTTTTTTGACGGCTATACACAATGAAATGTGAAGTTGTCTCTACAAAATACATTCATGTTCGTATTAGTATGTGTTATTTTTATGTTAATTAATTAATTATTAACAAAATTATTTGCATCATGTGACAAGGCAATACTTGATTTGCATGGTCTTTTACAATTTTTTTGGTAGATATAGATAAAACTTCACCGACAAAGATGATATACTGTATTCGTTCCACCCGAATTCTATGCATTTTCACCTAAACTACCGCAGGATACTATACACATGGAATGATTTAGTCAGCAATCTACGGTATATACTAACATAAATTATACAATTTACCTAACTACTACTTCTTTAACTTACAAATACAAAATTTATATAACGCCATCGACAAAATTATTTAAAATTTTTGTATTTGATATTGCCGCCTTCCCAGATCTACCAACGACAAAGATAAGGGGCTTTATGCTTGGGATATCTCTTTCTTTCAGGGAACAAAAAAAAACTGCAAATTAAACACGCAGTCACTCTCGATAAGTTGGACTCATCGGGCCTGGAGATTTTGGCCGACTTATTTGTTATTGAGAGATCCGACTTATCGAATTTTATGATATTTAATAAAAGAAGTGCTTTTACTTATACTGTATTTAAGCAATAGGTGATTATCAAATATTTGACGACAACAAAAGTATTTATAGATATTATACACAAATTTTTTTTACAAGATTTCCCACATGAGCTGCTTTAGAGAAGCATTTTGCTTTCTTCCAATTTGATGTCATAAGTATTTAAATTGTGTACTTTTACTGGTCTCTTTTTTTATCCGCAATTCGCAGGTTAATTTTTGGTAATTTGACATTTAATTTGTGCGATCAATATTAGCACTTTGATTATTAAGAAAATAATTCAGCTTGTCCTGGAAATTTAAACAAGTCAAACTACATAGTAAAAAAATGCCTAAATGCAGCTTCTCTCTAATGCACGGGAAGCATGTTGGGACTTAAGAAATAAGTGCACGTTCTATATTCTGCAATTGCGAGCTTACTTTCAGTCCCATCTTTAGAAACGCTTGCATTATATCTTGTGCAGCAAGATATTGACGTGTCAAGCTAGAACACAATCGTGGATTAGTACAATTAAATAATGTAAAATAAAACCAATATTACGAGCGTTCTACGATAATTGCGATGAACCTCTTTTTATTAAGTAATTCGAGCTTGAATGTTCGTTTCGATAAGAAAGTAGTCACGTGAAAGAAAATAATTGGTGTTCTCTAAATGCACGCTCTCTATAAGTGCAAACACATTGTCTGTCATTCTGATAAGTAGCAAAGCATCTGTGTAAAGTGTGCGAGACTAATTCCGGCAAAGTTTTATTATTTACATCAATAATGTGATTGAGAAAGTCAAAGATCTCAGTAAATAGATGAGTCATTGAGAAGTAATGACCATTGGATATCTTATGCTCCCTAAACTTAAACTCATACTTTATTATTATTATTATTATTATTGGTATGTTTATTTCAGATCTTTCTAATTTTCTGCAAGTCTGTTCTCCCCACTGAAATCTGTTTCCTCATGATGATAACTCATAAACTACCTAATACTAATATTACGTGCCCGATGTAACTTCAGAGTTGGTGGAATCTGACACTTTTTAATATAACGATAATATTTACCACAATGTAACTAACTATTTGTAATACCATATTAATTATTATATAAATTATATTGTTCATTAGCTCATCAATAAAATATACATAAAATTAATGATCAACAGACAAACAAGGTTGCACAGTAAACTACTGTCTCCTTTGGCATATGAGATTTGAAAAATGGTAAAATAACTATTACTATAGACAAAATAGCTATACTAATACTAATACAAGTTAGTAGAGAAAATGTGACACTATAAATTAAGTTTTGTATTACATAGAGTAATTATAAACAGTTTTACTGTATTAATCAAATAAAATAAATATTTGCTTAAATTGGTCGATGTAAATGGAAAGACATTGATAAACAATGAACTTCCATAAAAAACACATTAGGGCAAAATTATTATTACTCTATTATTAAAGTGTTATGTAGAGTTTATTTATTTACTAATTTACCTCCATAAAATGTTTTTCTGAAAAATCCCTTTGTAAAGGTTTTCTATTATTATTATTATTATTATGGAGACTTAATAGTATTCTTCCTTAGCATTAGATCAGTTGTTTCTATCATGAATCCATCTCAACTCTATTCTAATCTACTTTAATACACTAATTATATTTAATTTGTACACTTCTTAACAGGCATGTGGCCAATATAATTACCATTTCTTAATAATTTTCTTGTTTTCGTGTATTAGTATGC